CTGGCTCCCCACTCCCAGACCCTCAGGGAAAACAGCCTATCTCTAACTTTTAGTCCTTAAATCTGCTTTCCAGATGGTTCACAGGTATGACAGATAAAATCTCTGAGCTAAGGTAAGAAGTGCTTGAATGGTTGATGTACCAAGTCAGTAACTTCAGGCGATGTAAGATAAACAATTTTGTTAAAAATATGAAATCTGGCTGGGCGCGGTAGCTTACACCTGTAATCCCAGCACTTTGGGAAGCTGAGGTGGGCGGGTCACTTGAGGTCGGGAGTTCGAGATCAGCCTGGCCAACATGGAGAAACCCTGTCTCTACTAAAAATACAAAATTAGCTGGGCGTGGTGCTGCATGCCTGCAATCCCAGCTACCTGGGAGGCTGAGGCAGGAGAATCGCTTGAACCCAGGAGGCGGAGGTTGCAGTGAGCCGACATAGCACCATTGCACTCTAGCCTGGGCAACAAGAGCAAAACTCCGTCTCAAAAAAAAAAAAAAAAAAAATATATATATATATACACACACACACACACGAAATCTGTGTTATCTATTTACATTTTACTTAGCACATAGGTTCAGCACATGTTATTACTTTCCTTGCTTTTATATAGCAATCCCAGGATGGGAAATGGATGAATTCACATTGTGTAGTTGGATTATTTTTGCTTGAGCTTTGGCCTCCTCAGCAGCCCATTGGTGTTGACAGCATAACAAAGCCCTTATTATGATACAATCTTTACCATCTCAGCATTGCTTAGTTTGCCTTCTCTGTATTTTCCTGCTTCAAAGATGGTCCTTCAGAAAAGTAGATGAAGAAAATGGACTGCCTTTTACCTAGCAGTATTTTTTTTTACACTTTTTTTTTTTTTTTTTTTGGTAACAAGGTTTTACTCTGTCACCCAGGCTGGAGTGCAGTGGTGCAATCTTGGCTCACTGCAACCTCTGCCTCCTGGGTTCAAACGATTCTCCTGCTTCAGCCTCCCAAGTAGCTAGGACCACAAGTGTGTACCACCATGCCTGGCTAATTTTTGTATTTTTAGTAGAGACGGGGTTTCGCCATGTTGGCCGGGCTGGTCTCAAACTCCTGGCCTCAAGTGATCCACCCACCCTGGCCTCCCAAAGTGCTGGGATTACAGGCGTGAGCTACTGTGCCCAGCCGTTTTTTCTGTTTTGTTTTGTTTTTGTTTTATGCATTCTCAGAAAGATCTTCAGATTCTCCTGGGCAAGCAGTCTCTCCCATTCCTAAGGAGAATCCCACCCATTGGATAAGAAGGCTTCTAGGAGGGTCTGTCTAGTGGCAAGCCACTGGTATGAGATATCTGGAGAGGACCTAAAGCACCTCAGATGGCTATAACTGTATGGCATTTTACATTACACATCTTGATTCCCCAAGTACACTGGGGAATCCTTGTGATCAAAAAGGGGAAATGGGTTACACTCTGCCTTTTTAGGGAGATGTCCACAGAAATAAAGGAATTGACATTATAAAAGAAAGTCCCCTGTCTTTGTATTTCTTCCTTTACGCATATACTTACCTTTATAAACAGCTTGGTTAAAAGGCGGCCAATAATAACTACACCTCATGTGGCAGCATTGTAAAGTTTAATTAATGTTTCTAAGGTATGAGTTGAACTCACAAGATGAAAGATCCTAAATATGGAATATGTGTTAAGTGCCCAGTCTGGTTTAGTCTGATAATGGCTATAATTGTATGGTGTCCCACATTACACATCTTGATTAGTGTGGCTCCCATGAGTTCAACCTTGAAAATGTATTTTAATGTTGAGAATGTGTTTAACGTTGGTTGGCAAACATTTGGGTGTATAGAATATATGCTTCTGTTCTTCAGCTAGCCTCAGTTAGTTGGTTCTTGATGTAAAAGATATTTTACAAACCAACTCGGGAGGTTTTTTTTTTTTTTTTTTTTTGAGACAGAGTCTTGCTCTGTTGCCCAGGCAGGAGTGCAGTGGCACAATCTCAGCTAACTGCAACCTCTACCTCTTGAGTTCAAGTGATTCTCCTGCCTTATCCTCTTGAGTAGCTGGGATTACAGGCACCCTCCAACATGCCCGGATAATTTTTGTGTTTTTAGTAGAGATGGGGCTTCGCCGTGTTGACCAGGATGGTCTTGAACTTCTGACCTCAGATGATCCACCCGCCTCAGCCTCCCAAAGTTTTGGGATTACAAGCCTGAGCCATCTAGCCTTGTTTTGTTTGTTTGTTTGTTTTGTAACAAGGTCTCATTCTGTCGCCCAGGCTGGAGTGCAGTGGTATAATCTTGGCTCTCTGCAACCTCTGCCTCAGGTTCAAGGGATTCTTTTGCCTCAGCCATTTGAGTAGCTGGGATTACAGGCGAACACCACCATGCCCGGCTCATTTTTGTATTTCTAGTGGAAACGGGATTTCACTATATTGGCCAGGCTGGTCTGGAACTCCTGGTCTCATGTGATTCACCCATGTTGGCCTCCCAAAGTGCTGGGATTACAGGCACAAGCCACCATGTGTGGCCGGATCTGTGCTTTTTAAAACCAAGATATAACTCAGAAGACTGAAGGGCTTAGATAACCATGTGAGATAGGGAACTATTATTACTAGAATGTAGTTATATATTAACAGGACTCAGCTCTCATTTAGGTTAGTAGAAAAGTTTATCTTTGTATGGCAAAAGCAGCTTTCTCTTATCTTTATGTCCATTCCCTTTCAGTTGCACTAATATTTGTAATTTTTTAAATGGCTAGTACTTCATATACCCTCCTAAAGAATTTAACTACATGAATTAGAACAACCGTGTTCATTAAATCCTGAAAATGAGCCAGTTAATCCTCCCTTATAAAGACACAGCATTATTTTATTCACATGCAATGAAATACTTAATTCAATAAGTATTTACCCTGCGTTTACAGTAGTTCAGAGTTTTGTGAAATGTGAGACACGATAAAGGAAAACTCAATGTTTTAAGGCATCTTTCCTGGCCTTAAGAGTTTACTGTTTCTATTTGGGCAGCAAGAACTATATGGTAGGCCCAGCACTTTGGGAGGCTGAGGCGGCAGATCACTTGAGGCCAGGAGTTTGAGACCAGCCTGGCCAACATGGCAAAACCCTGACTCTACTAAAAATACAAAACAATTAGCAGGCATACTGATATGTGCCTGTAGTCCCAGGTACTCAAGGAGGCTGAGGCACAAGAATCGCTTGAACCCGGGAGGCAGAGGTTGCAGTGAGCCAAGATTACACCACTGCACTCCAGCCTGGGCGACACAGCAAGATTCTGTCTCCAAAACCAAACCAAACCAAACCAAAAAACCTATGTGGTATATTCAAAACAGATAGGAGTGCTTCCATCTGTCCCTTTTCAGGCCCCTGTCTCCCTTCTCAGGGGCCTTGGGTTCTAAGTTCCATTAGAGCCTTGCTTTCAGCAGGCTGTCATCAAATAGCAATGATATAGTCTAATAATGCCAAACGTTGATTTGCATTTTAATCAGGGACTTTTCAAGACACAAAAACAAGTAGGCCTGTTTAAACAAAGTTAGAAAGTTATTTATTTGCAGGGTTCTGATTCACCTATCACAAGCTATACCATACAAGCTGCTTTTACTCCACTCACAATCCTGTCTCTCCTGGTTTGTAAAAGCTCTGCTTGCTGGATTGTCTCCCTGCTATCTATGATCGCCTACAGAGTAGACTCCAAATTCTTGGCTTGGTGTGCCAGGCACTTTTGAGCTTCATCTTCCTTACTCCCAGCTAGACATCCTACTTCCCAGCCTCACTGCACTTTCCATGTTTCCATAAACAGGCCAGGCCCTTTCACTCCTTGCTTTGCCCTTGTTTCCATTCCCCAAAATGCCTTTCATCCTGTTCCCTCTTGTCTTTTTGGCAACTCCCACTTTGAGGCACAGCATAAACACAATCTCTGTAAAACTCTTCCTATTCCAGATTTCCCCCAAATTTCTTGTTTTGCCTCTTCTGACATCACTTTGTATATCTGTCACAGTATTGTTATGGAAATTAGTTTTGAAACTATCTTCCCCTACTGGCTTCTCAAGGGCAGAGACCTTGCATAGTGTCTTACCATACATGCTCACTGAATGCTTTTGCAGTTAGAATGATCAACAGGTTGGCAAATTTAGTTCTATTTGACATTGTGTTACCTCCCTCTGAGAATGCCCCAAGGTTAAGTAAAAACTCCCAACAGGGAATTTACAAGGTTGATTGTTGCTAATTTAACTAAATTTAAAGATTTTTAAAATCAGTCATCAAATGTAAAGCGGGGGCTCATGAAACACATTGGTAGAAAACATTGACTTTTGCCGATATTGTTCTAAAATGTCTCCTTTGGGACAGCGTGTAAGCTGAGATTTGGCAAAAGGAGGAAGTGGGTCTTAGCTTTGGTCTATAAATTACTGAGTTAAGGACCGATAGCGTGGGGGTTAGGACGGTCCTGGGCACAGTGCTCGGTGGATGAGGGGTTAGTTACCTTTCTATTTCTTCGCCTTAGAATACACCCTTAATTTGGTCAGCCAGCTTAGAAAATGCTCCTGGTAGGAAGATAAAAGGATTTACAGCTACATGAAAGAGAAAGGCATCAAAACTCAGGCCTTATTCAGCCTTGGGTCTGTGGTGCCTTGAGATAAAAGAGAAACAATTTATAGCGGCACCGAATCAAAAAGTCCTTTTCTTCCTATCTTAGCTCGTTTTCTTCTCCTTTCCTATCTTAACATCGGTACATTCCTCTCCAGTAACGGGCATAATAGCATGATTATGTTTTCCTCTATTTAGGGTTACTCCCCTAGCCTTGCAACCACTCCTTATTCCTTTATCTCTTTCAAAGTTTCCATTCTCCCGGACCTTTACATTTTATTTCGTCCCTCCCTCTCTCCTCCTCTTCCTCCTCCTCCGTTTTCCCAGCTAGCTCACTCCGCCCCTCGCCGTCACTACCTTCCCTCCCCCTGAGGCTCCTTCCCGCTCCTCCCCGTTCCTCCCGCCACCCCCCCACCCCCTTCAGAAAGCTCCAATCAGGAGCTCCGAAGGTGTCTCGAAGGCCCGCCCCCTCCTCCCATCCACTTTTCTTCCCCCCAATTTCTCCCTCCCCCCTTCCCCCCCCAACTCAAGTCCTGCGGGCCTGGGGGCTTCGGGATCTGGGCGCTATGAAAAGTGTCTGCCCAGTCACTTCCGGTAAGGGCGCTGCGGCGCGGAGCTTCCCGCGGGACCGTTAAGGAGAGAGTGGGAGTCCCCGGTGGGCCAGGGAAGGAAGGCGCTGCCAGGAAGGGGGAGCGCGAAGGAGAGCGGGAGCCGGAGCGAACTAGCGCGAGCGTCTGGGGCACTTTAGCCGCCCCTTCCCAACCGCCCCCTCACGCGCGAGCTCCCCCGCCCCCCGGGCGGCTGCAGCGCTTCCCTCACCCCCAATCCCTGAGATTGGCACCGCCCCTCCCTCGGTGCCGCGTGACCGGAAATGGCGCCATCTTTAGCCTCTTGTGCTATTGACAATAACAAGCCCTGGTTGTTTCCCCCTCCCCCTTTCCCCCAACCACAGCCTCTCCCCTCCCAGGGAGAGGGAGAAAAGGAGGAGGAGCTGCAGCCTCACAGACTCGCTGAGTCGCTCCTGCAGAAAGGGGGGGAGAGAGATCGAAAAGCAGGGGAGGGGGACGGCACGGCCGTTTACCTGTCTGCCTCCTCATTCGCTCTCCCCCCTCGTTCTGCTCACTCCTGGTGTCAGCCTATCCGCCTTCCCAAACCCTCCCATTCCCCCGGTGTAGCCCCCCCCCCCGCCTTCACTTTCCTTCTCGTCCTCTGTGTTTCTCCTCTCTTCTTTCTTCCCTTCCCCCTCTAGCATTGCCACCTTCTCTCCTACACGCACGCAGGCATATAAACGTAGGTTTTTGATGCTCCTCTGCCTGTTGACCCCGCTATTTTCATGTTTCCAACAGGTTTTTCTTCCCCCAGTCCCTCAGCTGCTGCTGCTGCTCAGGAGGTCAGATCTGCCACTGATGGTAATACCAGCACCACTCCGCCCACCTCTGCCAAGAAGAGAAAGTTAAACAGCAGCAGCAGTAGCAGCAGTAACAGTAGTAACGAGAGAGAAGACTTTGATTCCACCTCTTCCTCCTCTTCCACTCCTCCTTTACAACCCAGGGATTCGGCATCCCCTTCAACCTCGTCCTTCTGCCTGGGGGTTTCAGTGGCTGCTTCCAGCCACGTACCGATACAGAAGAAGCTGCGTTTTGAAGACACCCTGGAGTTTGTAGGGTTTGATGCGAAGATGGCTGAGGAATCCTCCTCCTCCTCCTCCTCATCTTCACCAACTGCTGCAACATCTCAGCAGCAGCAACTTAAAAATAAGAGTATATTAATCTCTTCTGTGGCTTCGGTACATCATGCAAACGGCCTAGCCAAATCTTCTACCACCGTCTCTAGCTTTGCTAACAGCAAGCCTGGCTCTGCTAAGAAGTTAGTGATCAAGAACTTTAAAGGTAACCAAGGCCAAAATCCATAATCACCTAATAAGGATTTGACACTCGAGGGGTCACGTGTTCTATTTATGTTAATATATTAAACAGTTTGGAGGTGGCCTAATGTTTTATGCATAATCAATGAGGTGGAGGGGAGGTCCTTTTTTGGTGGAGGGTTCATTTTCCGGGGGTGGTTAGGATCCTTGTGCTGAAGCATACACCGGGTGTTTCTGTGCAGTATTTTGAGGTTTTTTCCAACCTATTGTATTTAATCTGTTATTCCTTATAACACTGACAATCGGTATGATTGATCCGGATTTTACAGGTGAGAAATTTGTATTCTAAAGAGGTTTATTTATTTCAGGTGCATAGCGAGCCTTGGCACTGCTGGGATTTTTATTTTTATGCTTCAGTAGGCCACATTATCCAATGCCTAGAAATGCAGGTAGCAATAGTGATCTTTTTGTGCTCAAATAATATTTATAATTAGATTTACACTGTATTCATGAAACTCATTTGGAAGCAATATTTGAAGAAAAATTTATGTTCTCTGTATTTCTTTCCAAAGGTAGGGTTTGAAAGTGAAAAACATTGTGTATACACAGAAGTAGTAAGTCTGTGTACCACTAGTCTAAAGATAGGAACAATTACTACATCTATTTTTTCCATCACTAAAATGGATTTTAAAGTATCGACCTGCAGCTTTTAGGAAAATTTGTTCAGACCGTGTTTGAGATATGTGAGGAGAGTATTATGAATGCATTGATGCAAATATAAAATCAGCAATTTTTAAAACTGTATTTGAGCTGAATTTTTATCTGTTGAATGTGTTTCTGTTTTTCTGACTGACTTTTCAACACCCTTAACTGCCAGGTAATCAGTGCTACAGTGTTTATTAAATAGAGAAGTAAATGAATGAACTTAAGCAATATTTATGAGATAAGTGCTTTGTGGCTGAATATTAGTATTGAGAAGATTAGGTTCTCTATGCTTGTGTTTTTAACATTGAGTGGAAATCAGGAATGTGCTCTATTTTGTCTCAAGCAGAGGGCTATGGTGTTGTCTATTTTTAACTCTTTCTTTTTTATATCGCTACCTTCCCATACCCAGGTTCTCAGTTTACGATTTAATAGTAGGCCTTTCTGAAGTCAATATGAATTGTAATTGACTAACGTGTTCATTGTTTCACTTAAAAATATATGGATTTTTATAGCCAAATATTTTTAAATGAGTTATGATCCTGGTTGCATTTTCAAATTGGTTTCAGAGATTTTTTTCTCTCCCTCCTAAGATAAAAGCATATTAAGGCATTTGGATGTTCTAATTAAAACTTTTTTCCCCACACTCATTGCTAGTCAGTGAAGTTTAAAGCCTAGAGTAAGGTGCTTCTTTCTATTCTGAAAATGCAACATGATTTCTGGAGTCATTTGGTTGTTTCAATCTTTAAAAATTTCACTCTGCTCATAAATGTAGTTTAAAACTACATGGAGTTAAGATATTTCCATTTCTATAGATGCTACATAAATTTGGGGGTCAAACAGACCTGGATTAGAATCCCAGCTTTGCCATTGACTAGCTATGATGACCTTGGGCAAGCTTACTAAATGAGTTCCAGCCTCAGTTTCCTCGGTTGTAAAATAGATTCCTCAGGGTATTGTTGGGAAGATTAAGAGGTTTATAAAGTATCTTGCACATAGGCAGTGTTTTAAATCTCAGGTTAAAAATTCATGTCGACTTAGGTTTTACACATGATGAAGTAAGATCAGGATTGTTGTTTTTTATGGTCATTCTTGAATTTTTATTTTTTTGAAGCAATACAATCAATAGGAGAAAAACCTCACCTTCAATTTTAATAGGTGAGTCAAAATGACTTAAATAGTATTATGACATTTCAAATTTTATTCTTTATATTAAGCTTAAATACAGTGGTTACTTTAATGATTAGGTGTGATAGTTATAAAGATCATAATTTACCCTAAAAATAGAGTAATGCTGTTGTATTTTATTGATCTTTGGTTGCTGTATCTGACATGGTATTCTGATACCAACCTTTTACATATCATTTAGATAAGCCTAAATTACCAGAAAACTACACAGATGAAACCTGGCAAAAACTGAAAGAAGCAGTGGAAGCTATTCAGAATAGTACTTCAATTAAGTACAATTTAGAAGAACTGTACCAGGTATGTATTAATATGCATAACCAGATTTGATTAACATAAATTAAGGTGGGATGTATATTGATTTTGCTTTCTGAAATAGGTTCTTAAGTAGACTTTTGGTTCCCTTCTAGTTTTAGTTTCTCAATTAATTGATGAACTCTTTAATTAGACCACGTATTCTCACATAAACTATGGGTACAGTCATACCGGTATAAATTGTGCTTATCTTTGACCCTTCTGTTGAGGAATTACAGTTAGGTGTACCTTGGTGTAATAGAAGTTCTACCTATAATGAAATCCTATAGCATGAATCCCAAAGATGATTTCTGGTGACATGTCATTCTATTGTGATAATTGTTTCTTAGTTGTGTTACCTACCCATAGGAAAGGCCTCAAGACATGCAGATATTATTCATATCCTTTATTTTACCTCCTTCTTAATAGTAGACTTTGCTATTCCTTTTTCTTGCTCTTTACATTTTTCTAATACCTGGGCTACAAGACGCACCTTAGCCCAGAAATGAGCAGCAGTTTGTAGTCCAGCAGCTTAGTCTGAGGTTCAGATTCTTTACTTAGCAAATGGGTCCTTACACTTAAATATAATGTTAAGGGCAGTTACTAATGGCAATCTCTTGCTACCGAGAAATTTTTCCCTACTGTGTATTTGACACACAACCAATTCACGAAGTTACTTTCATTAGAGTGTCAGGGATTTGGTGTTAAAAGATACTTCAGGCCGGGCACGGTGGCTCACACCTGTAATCCCAGCACTTTGGGAAACCAAGGCTGGTGGATCACCTGAGGTCAGGAGTTTGAGACCAGCCAACCAACATGGAGAAACCCCGTCTCTACTAAAAATACAAAATTAGCCAGGCGTGGTGGTGCATGCCTGTAATCCCAGCTACCCAGGAGGCTGAGGCAGGAGAATTGCTTGAACCCAGGAGGTAGAGGTTGTGGTGAGCCGAGATTGCACCATTGCATTCCAGACTGGGCAGCCAGAGCAAAACTCCATCTCAAGAAAGATATTTCAGAGTACTTCAGAGTACAATAGCTTGAATTTTTGTATTGATGAGTACCTTGTAAGAAATTATGTTGGTTCGATTTATCAGTATTTGTATATTTTAGTTGCAGAGCTAGTATGGTGATGGGCAAATCCTGGATTAGGAGTCAGAAGATGGGTTTGGGATCTAGTTTTGACTGCTGTGACCCTTGTAATATTGGGCCAGGTACTAAAGCCCTCTCAGTTTTTTTCCTTTTTTTTTTAAGAGATAGGGGTCTTGCTATGTTGCCCAGGCTGGTCTTCAACCCCAGGGCTACAGCAGTCTTCTCACCTCAACCTTCCAAGGTGCTGAGATTACAGGCATGAGCCACCAAACCCAGCCGTCCCTCTCAATTTAAATTTCCTCCTCTCTAAAGTAGAGGAAATAATAATTTGCCCTACCTATCTCACAAGGTTGCTTATAAGAATCAAATAAGATATTTGTGGAAAAAACCTCCAGGCACTATAATCTTACAAATATGATGATATCACGAGTCATGCTTTTTTACAAGCCACAGTATAGCTTCTTCACTTGTAATATGTCAATTGAGATCACCGGTTTCTATTGCTGTGAAAATTAGTCAGTACACGCAAAATACTCAAATCAGTGCACAACACATAGTAATAATGCCATGTAACATTATAAACATTGTAATGCTATGTAAATGTCAGCTAGTAGTTGTAGTACTAAGCTATTACTTAAGAATAAGCCCGTTTCATATGGCTCTTTTGGCATATTATATGTGTGTCTCCTAAAATGTACAACAATAAAAGTCAAAATATGAAATTGACTTGGAAAGGCCTTAAGAGAGCATGTGGTCCAATATTTTTCTTTGTGGTGTCTGTGACAGCCTGCAAAGGGGATTCATCTTGTATTATCTCATATAAGCATTACGAAAACCCTTTCTGGAGTACGTAGGGTAGTAGTTACTATCTTCACTTTTTATTTTTATTTATTTATTTATTTATTTTTGAGATGGAGTCTTACTATGTCACTCAGGCTGGAGTGCAGTGGCATGATCTCGGCTCACTGCAGCCTCTACCTCCCGGGCTCAAGTGATCCTCTTGCCTCAGCTTCCCAAGTAGCTGGAATTACAGGCACCTGCCACCACGGCCTGCTAATTTGTATATTTTTAGTAGAGATAGGATTTTACCATATTGGCCAGGCTGATCTCGAACTCCTGACCTCAAGTGATCCACCCACCTCCACCTCCCAAGGTGCCGGGATTACAGGTGTGAGCCACCGCGCCCGGCCTATCCCCAGTTTATTAATGAAGAGACTGAGTCTCAGAGAAGTTGAATAACCTGCCCAGAGTCACATATTGGCAGAGTCACATATTGGCAGAGCAGGGGCAACTCAAACTGAGATGCTGGATTTCTAGTTCGTTGCACTTTTACTCCTGTACTACCTCACTAATATACCCTGGTACTTTGAATACCACTGTAGTGCAGTGTTTGAAGCAATTAAATTGTTTTACTTTAGGGAAAAAGCTCTTTATCATTGAAGTAGTATTTTTATCTGTGCATGCATAAGTGATGTTTATTTGGATAGTATATGGTGTTTATTTGGATATGCTGGTATACAGCATATTTAATTTCAATAATGTGTTATTTTATATATTCCATATTTATAACAAATGTTTATTGTAGTTGTTAATGAACCCTATTTACTTTACCTTGAATATTTTTCCAGAGCTTTTGCTTTGAAAATATTTTTCCTGATATATTGATTCTGTTAAATCTTTTCGTTTCAAGAGCATAGAGCTTGCATCTTTTGTTTTTGTTTTCTTGTACTTTGTTTTACCTGCTGTTGTTCAGTTGCATTTCTTTTAGCCTAGTCACAAGTCTTATAACTTCACTGTTTGCATTTTTCATAATACCTTACTGCTTTTGCTATAATGAATTCAAAAGCATTGGTTTTTAGCTCTTTTACTGTTTTTGACCTTAATTTTATAAATGTTCCTTTGGATTGTTCTCAGAAAGATTATTTTGAGATGTTCAAGTTCAAAAAGGAGGATAAAGGAGGTAAAGCTATTTCATATAATCTGGACTTCAGGTGCTTGTTTGGTTTTAACTCATTGAAACGTAATTAGAAGTATTCTGTCAATCTACCTGAGTGGGAAATAAAAAAATAAGAAAAAGTACTCTTCTCTTCTAAAATCGAAATAATGTGGAAATATGTAGTTATACAAAAGTTCTCCAAACCCCTGTCCTACTCTCTTTCTCTGAAGTAAACACTTACTGGCATATATCTACTTAGAACTTAACTTCTGCAAGAAAAAACATTTTGCTTTAAATCTTTAAGTATGGAAGTCCCTAGTGTGGGTTGCATGTACTGCCTACTAAGTTTTTAATTTCTATAAAAGAACATGCTGTTCTAAGTACACTTGCAGTAAGCAAACATTGTCTTTTTAAAGTAATTTTAAATTAGAATTGGACCTGAGTTTTAAAATTATCTTTCCTTGACAACCTTGAGATCCTGTGGGTGTGAGGCAGTGATTATATGTTTTCATTTGACTGTTCTGTTTGTTTGCGGCCTTGTTTTTGATTGACTACAAGTAAGACTGATTAAATGCACTGACTTTTGAGCTGTTCAGCTTGCCTTAGGTTACAAATCTGTCACTTGTCATATAACTTTGGGCGAGTTACTTCTCTAAGTCTTGGTTTCCTCATTTATAAGATGGTGAGACTAATGGCTACTTTATATGGCAAGGTTTTTTAGACGTAAATGAAATATCGCAAAAAAGTAATTATCACAGTCCCGGCTATGCATTGGTATGTGTCATCAGTGCTAGTAAATATTTGAGTCTTTAGAAAAGAAATCTTTATGTTAAAATTACATTTTATTTTAGAGCTCTGAAGCCACATGATTTTAAATTCTAAATCTACACTGGGCCAGAGCAGCTGGCTGATAAATAGATTACATTCCAAATGTGCTTCAGTAGACACCATTAGCGAAATTGAAAAACATAATAGAAAAAGACAAGAACTCTCTAGGAACAGTGTCCCTCTACACTTACAAAGAATGTGTCCTGTTTTCACATGTGGTATCGTACAGTTGGAATTTTGGTTTTGGTGAGTTTTTTACTATTAATAAGTAATATTTTAAATAGGATTATTTTCATAATCCTATTATGAGCTCATGTTCTCAACTTTTGTGTGAGTAGTCGCAGTGTTTTGTTTTGTTTTGTTTTAAATAGAGATATGGGGGTCTTGCTATGTTGCCTAGGCTGTTCTCGAACTCCTGGCCTCAAGCAGTCAACCTGCCTTGGCCTCCCAAAGTGTCGGGCTTACAGGCATGAGCCACCATGCCTGGCCTAGTACAGTGTTTAAGATCAGCTGCCTTTTTTGGAGATGCTGGAAGTTTGTACAGGAGCGTATAGCATTTATCTTTCCTATAAATCTCTAGCTATTTTTAAAGTCAAGCCTAGTTCATACTTCAATTCTGATGAAAATAATTTTATTTATTATTAATGGGAACTGTAGTTATCTGTTTGTGAAATAAACCTTAAATGATGAACCTTTATTAATGATTCGCTTATAGAGTAAATGACCACAGGACTAGAATAAAATAGTATAGATTATCCATTGTAAAATCTGGTTGCTTAGGCAGTCAGTGATTATAAGAAAGCAGTTAGATTCTTAGCATTGTTGATGACTAGCGGTTGGATTCTATGTAACTTTTGTCACCCTGTTGGTGTCTTAAAGCTTAGTCTATTATGCATTATGTATTTCTCTTTTTACTGAATCGTTAATCAGTACTATTGTTGCTGTTTTTTAAAATGTACAACTAAAATTCTACTCTTTAAGTTATTTTGAAATATACAGTAGATTATTAAATACTAAAAAATTTTAAAATGTGCACTTATAAATTCTTTATCCTTGATAATTTTCAGTCTTATTTAAGTCCTGTTTACTGGAAGTAAAAAGAAAAGGAGTTTAGGTTTCATTGTATAGTTGGTTTCCTTTAAACAGATTCTTA